TCCGACAAGGTGTGTTGGCGGCCTGGCCACTCGGTGGTGAGGGGACTTGGCGAGGCCGGGCAAACTGAGAAGGACAAGAAAGTTGAGCTCCATGACCATATCTTCTGCCTGAGGATTAGGTCTGAATATGCCCTCCGCATTAATCATTAATATCCACTCCCAAAGTGTATTGCCGGCAGGAGTAGCTGGTTGGCTACATTTGCATCTCATCCTCCCATTGGGAATATTTCAGCCTGCGACCTTGCAAGGTTGCCACAGATCCTGCTTCTGCCCACTTTGCTCGTTTGCCCGCTTGCAGAAAGGCAGTCTGCCCTTGGCAGAAGTGTAGAACTCTGAGAAAAAAATTGCCAGACAATCGAGAGCTCCACCGAGTTCCCCTGTTCGACAGAAGAGTGGGGGGAGGCTAGGGAATGAGTTGAGCTGCGCAACAACCCTGCAATCGGAACCAACTTCCGCTGGTCCCGGAACTCTGACAAGCCAATCCGGAGAGGGTGGGACTGGCGTGGCGAAGGGAATAAAGCGCGTCGTTGGAAGCGTCAAGCATAAGAAGAACACGGGGCTCTAACCAGCACCTTCAATGGGACTCGAACCTGGGTTTGCTCATCATTAGGCGACTGAAAGTCTTCACCTGAAGAACACTGAATCACAGTCAGTCATGGTTCACAAGTTGACAGCCTCGGCAAACGAACAATCATCGTCTACTGTACGATGATATGTAGATTTGCGGGACTACCAGTAAATGAATCTCACAATTAGTTATCTTATAATTGCTTCTCAAGACTTAACTGACCTTGAAGCAAGGGTATTCCTAACGCTGGCAACAAGCACTCAGTGAAAAATAACCGCTTGATTTCAACCATAAACAGTTTCCCACTCTCTCTTAGATATGAAGAGAAGGACTTTAAAGTGTCTACCAATAGATTCATGGAATATATTCGTAACTTGGTCCAACTGGAAGCCGAAACCTCGGAGCTGAGATTGCGGATTTTTTGGAAGAAGCATTGTTACACGTCTTGATTATGTCCATCAAAAAGCTCATCACAGATTGCTCAGAATTACGGGGCAGTCTAACAAAGAATTACTTGCACAGATCTACAATCACAACTCCAAGGCAACCATTTTTAGACTTTCGATAAAGCCGAATTAAGTATCGCTCCCAGTCGCCGTTTAAAGCGAAATGAAAAGTACCACGGCCCTCCTCTCTCTTGCTTAAAATGGAATATTGAACCTAAATTTTCCCAATTCCTAATAAGAAAAAACGACAGTTATATGGTTGTTGGGGGAAATGAAGTTGGAAACAGTTATTGCTACCTAATTTAGTAATGCTTTGGTGGTGATTCTGAGCTCGAAACACAAGAACCCACGACATATTTACGGGAAGAGTTGAGTGCACTAGTGCAATGGCTAACTAATGGATTCGAAACATGGCTTATGACTGGGTAACTCACTAGAGTTTCCATATTTTTATCACCCTTTCACGACTATATATTCGTTTCACTAAAAGCCACCCATTAATTTTGTTATATAATCGTATATAAATTCAACAAACTCCCCAAAATAGGCCTTGGCATTAGCTATTTTGCCAACCACACTTAAATTTGCAGGCTTGTAGCTTTTTCGATCGTTATCTGTTGGGCGAATTTCTCCCTTTATTTATGCACTAATACATCGTTGTCACGCTCCCTGTAGCAAGTGTTAAATGAATGTGTCATTACCGAAAAGAAGCAGCCTAAAACTTAATCTTTGCATAGAATCTGATTGTGTGAGCTGCCTACCCCGTTATCTACTTTCCAACTCCCCAATTCTCATATTTCATGGATTAACTCACATACTTACTTATTTGCTTACGTGACTATTAAGTGGCTTGTGTAAACACTCATCTGATTACACATAAAGTCACGCACTTGGTTGCTTAAGTGAATACTTCCATAATTATTCTTTGTAATGATTACTTAAATATCGGAACATCTAATAGCCAAACTTTATATTTGACTTGATCTTTTAATGCTGTCGGAAAGCAAGTTGCTTAGGGCAAATTCACTTTGAATGCCTGATAACTTTGCTTTACCGCCTACTATTAACTTGATCGAAGGTATGAAGAACAAGATAGCGTGGCCTTTTGTATGGAAATGGTCTCCCTTCGTTGTATAGAAGTTGTTTGCCCTTGTTTTCGCAACTTGTTCATATTGGCATGAAAACATAGAGAAACGCACCTTGTCCGGAGTCCATATTATGCTTGATCATTTTCAGGGTCTGATCGTGCACTATGATTGAGGCGGAGTGTAGAACATAAAGCCTTGAGTAGTAAAGATACGTTGGAAGCTATGGAGTGAAATCACTGAAAAAAGCAGATAAGGGAATAAATCCTTAAGGGATAGGATTACTGATCAAATCGCAGCCTTGGATCAACAGTCCCCACACAGTGAGAGGGATATGGAAACCAGCGAAGAGTGGTTTCAAATAGGTTTCTATAAACAAGTAAGAAATGGTAATATTGAAGGGGTGATACGAGGATATAGGATCGGTGAATAGTTCAGGATAGAAAGGAGAGATACCGCAAATGTTTAGCACACATTTGGTCACTTTTCGCTTTGACGAGTTGTGGTATGGTGCTAAGAATGGCAAGACTCATTGACGATGTCGACTACGATGCCGACAAACGTCTGGGAATGTACCACGTCCATTGCCTGACTTTAAATATTATCATGCATACTATGGACTCCCGACAAGGTGCGTTCCTCTAGGTATTTCTTCCAATATGACCAAGTTGTAAAAACAAGGTTAAGCAAATTCTGAAAGTAATTTGGTCTGCTTTCCTACCCAACCACAGCTACTATTTTAATTTGGATTTGGACTTCTTCCCTAATGGCTTGGCACATAATGAAGAAAGTCATTCCTCGTCAATGTATGCTTTTGAGACTCCATATAGTGACTGCATCTCTGAGCACCAAAAAACGAAGTCTTGCTTATTCCAAGCCCTTTGAGATTTTAGAGTTCCATAGTTAGAATACCAAATACTCTGGAAAATGATAATTTGGACTTCGTTGTCGAGGTCGATGTGCATAAAGACTAAGTTTGCTCTTCAATACATCTGGAAGGTCGTCAGGTCTGTAGTTATGATGATATAGTTTAAAGCTTCAGCAGGACTTAAGCCCTAAGTGTATGCAACTGTTTGAAGAGAAAACAGGTAAAAATAAAATTTAGAAATCGATTCGCTAACCGGGAAAAATATTGGGTTATTTTTGTCTGGCGAAATTGCCAAGCCAGGATCAGATGTACATCTGAAGATGCTATGATATCCTTTCTCAGATCACTGTGAGATCAGGTCTTTCCAACGCAGCCTTCCTCTCATTAGACTTTAAATAAAAGCGTATAATTTATTATAAAAATGCCAATTTTCTCCATCTAAACTTTTAGCCGAAATAGCAAATAAGTCCCAGAATAATCAGTCAAATCACCCAATCAACACAGTGACAAGAGAACTAAGTTAGCGGTCGCACTAAAGGCCACACCATCTTGGTCTTCATACCTTCGAGTAATTATTTTAACTGAGTAATATGTCATCTGTCTGGCCATCTTATTATAAAAAGTTACATTA